CGGCTGCTACGGGGGCGCGCTGCATGCTGGGAGTTGTAGGCGCCGCGGGACGGGGAGCGCCCGGGTCTTTGTGCCGCCGGGAGTCTTGCACCCCCTCCCAGCACCGTGGGCTGTGGTGTGTCCCATGGGACCCCCATGATCTCCAGTTCTTCCCCCTCACCCCTAATTACAGGCAGCAGGGGGATAGGTGTAGTGGCCTGCAGGTGCCCTGTACCCCACCCCAGGAATAGGGCTCTTGGGGCACATTTACAAGTGCACTTTAGCCTATTTAATGAGCATTAAAGCCTTGCTAAAAAAAAAACCTGTACTCTTTCGTTAATGTGCATTAGACAGGCTAATGTGCATTTTCCTAGTACCTTACAATGGAGGTACTGGACTTAATGCTAGGGTGGCCATCATAAGGACAGTCCGGTTGTCCTCTATTCATATGAAACCAGATGCCTTTATGTCCTGTATTTTTCTCTTCTCTTCCTCCTCCCTCCCACACCTGCTACAGCACTGCCCAAGGGCAGGTCTACATGTGCGTTAACAGACATTAGTTAATGCGCATTAAGTCTCGTACCTCAAGTGTAGGGAGCCCTGCTCGGGGCTCTTTCCATGGGCACCTGCTCCATGGGCTGCCATCACAAAGATGGGCTGTTCCCCTTTGGCACTAGCTGGAGTAGCTCTTTTCTTCAAAAGAAAAACAGAGGACATAAAGGCATCCGGTTTCGTATCAATAGAGGACCAAGTAGCAGAAAACTGGAATGTCCTCTATGATGGCCACCCTACTTAATGTGCATTAACTAAACTGCATTGATGCACATGTAGACATGCGCCAAGGATAGTGCCATAGGAACAAAGTTTGGTGCCTGGGGCCCGCCCTCACCCCACACACAGATCCGGGGAGCACCCCCCCATGCTTACCTGGAAGTGCACACAGCAGCAGGAACCACCCTCCCCCCATTTCCGTGCCCCCCCCACAAATGAGCTGCTGTCCCACACCCTGCCCCAGCTGGGCAGCGCCTGTTGATGCCCCTTCACTTTGGCACTTGGAGTGGCCCCCCCCCACCTGCTACAGGACTGCCCAAGGGTGTGTCTACATGTGCATTAATGCACATTAGTTAATGCGCTTTAAGTCTAATACCTCGAGTGTAGGGAGCCCTGCTCAGGGCTCTCTCCATGAGCACCTGCTCCGTGGCCTGCCATCACGGAGATGGACTGCTCCCCTTTGGCCCTGGCTGGAGTAGCTCTGCCTGGGCAATGCCTGTGGTAGGTGGCTGCACTAAGACCCCCTGGGGCAGCTTATCTGTGAGCACTGAACCTAAGATGTTCATATTTAAAAGCATGAGCCTCCCTTGCTTGAGTCACAATGCTAGGCCATTGGCAGAGCGGGAGTAGGGGCTCCTAAACCCCTCTGTACACCTGCTCCAGCCACAAGAGGAGAGCACAACAATATGTTGCCCTGGCATTGTGATGGAGCCACCAGGCTTTGTGTGTGCTTCCCATGACCCATGGCCCCACGCTTTACTTGAATGTTTCTCAACCATCTCCTTTTGGTAGCAAAGTAAAAAAGAAAATGTTCGTGACTTCCTTAGTCTTACTCCAAGAATAAAAAACAGAACAAAACAATGTCAGGTAACAGCAGTCAAACCAGGATATGCCTACAAAATTTGTGGCAAAGAACAGTTGACCTTGATGGGTTTAGAGGGTTGGAGTTTTTCTTTTGTTTTACACTGGAATAAAATTTGTGTTGTTGTTCAGCCTCCCTCAGGGTCCTAAACAGCCAATTGGGAAATGCTGGTCTAATTAATGAAGCCAAGAAGTATTAATAAAGATGAGCATGCCCCAGGGCTACATTGTAGAATTCTGTATGCTGCAGCTGTGCTACCATTGTCACAGGGACCTCCTCAGAAGGGTGTTTTATGTGCACTCTGCTCCAAAGCACACATTTTCTTGCAAAAAATGAGTGTTTGTGCTCATAATTCCCATATATGAACAAATTACTTTGTAGGTGCGACCTAACTACTCATCTTTGAAAACCCAGCCTTATGTCAGACCTTTTGGAAACCAACTGGCAAACATTCAAACTAAGCCTAATAAAGCTATAGGGATCATTATATATACATTATATAATAAATTATACTGTATCTGCGACTGGAATTAGGATCACCAGTTGGAATTTACACATAACTCATTGGCTAGAGTAAACTTACTCAAGCTTTCAGTGACTGCTTCCACTAAAATGCATAAATAATACACTATGTTTTAGTATTTTACAAAGCAGAATTTGGTCCAAAATTTCAGCTCAGAATATTTTACAATCTAAGTCTCCGTTAATGAGACTCCTGAGCAGAGGTGTTAACATTGATAGACTCCAATGCAAGAACAAGGTTGTTGATTGTAGCTGTGTTGCTCTGACATAGGCAGACAAGGTTCTTTGGATAGATATGATATCTTTTATTAGACCAACTAAATAGTACGAAAAATGTTCTTTGCAAGCTTTCAGGCACAAACACCCTTCTTCAGGCATTGGAGAGAGTCTCTTGTTGGTTTGGGTGCTCTCCTGGGTAGATTACAAGCCAATATGCAAAAATGCATTTTCACAGACCTACATTTTTGCATATTGGCTTCCAATCTACCCAGGAGAGCACCCAAACCAACAAGAGACTCTCTCCAATGCCTGAAGAAGGGTGCTTGCAAAGAACAATTTTCCAACTAGTTAGTTGCGCTAATATAAGATATAACATCTACCCAATGCAGGAACAAAGCTTTTAAAATATACCACTAGGTCCTCCTATACAAGCAAATGCAAATCAACACCTTCCTTTTCATATTACTAAACTATGAATCACAGGACAGAATTGGAGCAATAAAATGTGATTTACTGGGGTCCTAAGCACATAATCCTGAGCTGCTCTAAGGCTCTTCCAAGACAAAGAGCCTGAGACTGGTGCTGGGAGATATAATTCAATATGCTGTAACCCTTACTCATTGCCAAATTGCCAAGATGTGGTACACACCCAGTGGTAATCAATGGGCACAGTTTTCTTCTTGGCAGAAGACCAAAGCTCAGCAAGGAGGAAAGGTTGAATTTTAACCACATTTCTCTGGAAATCCTTCCCTGTCCTACCATGGAGCCTCACCTCCAGTCCCATATGTGCCGAATTTCAACATGCTTGGTTTCCATTCCAAACCAGAATGAAAACCAAAGTTCAAAAAACCAAAGTTCAAACCCTCCAGGAAACAAAGGACTTTTTCCACCTGGTTATATTGCACCAGTTTAATTGAATTGTCTTTAAATTAATTAAACCAGTGCAGCATTCTCATACCCACTCAGTTCTTTCTCTGCCCCAAACTCTGCAGTGCTTCTTTCATTGTGGATGGACATGGAGGCATGGGGATGCTGAGAAAATCTCTGCTCTTCTTACTTCCCCACAACCACTTTTGTAAAGGGCAGTGGCAGTACCAGAGTGAGTCCCTGCTCATTCTTCCACACAAATCCCACCCCAATGCCTGTTTTTTTTTTCCCCCTGGGGCTGAGGAAATTGCCTTAGCAATTCTCCTGTTGTCTGATCCTTTCTTTTCAGACTTCTTTTGCTGCCTGTCACTGGGGTTCCTTCCTACTTTTCCTCCCCTGTGTAAAAATAGGAGCCCAAAGAGAAGGGGTTGGCAATTATTTGGGCCTGAGAGCCACATAGGGAGTTTTGGTGAGCTGTCGCAGGTCAAGTCAACATACCTCTCCCCAACCCCACCAATGCAATAGCTCACCCAAACTCCTTAAGTGGCTCTGCTCCCTGCTTGGCCATGTGGCTGGGATGGGGCCATGGCAGGGCAGGAGTGGGAAAGTAGGTGGGGCTGGGATCATGGGGAGATGACTGCTCAACAGAACCAGCACCTGTCTCAGGGGCATGCAGGTAGTGGATCGCAGATCTGCCCCAGCCCTGGCCCCATGCTGTCACTGCCCTACTATCCCAGGATCATCATGGAGACCTTACCCGGCTGGAAACTGCACAAGTAAGGCACGTGGCTGGGCAGATGGGATGGGGCTGCAGGCGGGTGGGAAGCTGCGTCCAGGGCCAGGGTTTTGGGGCAGTGATTATGAGGGGCCGGAGCACAGCCATGATCCACTCCCCGCATACCCTTGCCCATGGAATCCATGCCTGTCACAGGGGCATGTAGGGAGGGGATTGTGGCTCTGCCCTGGGCCTCAGCTCCATGCTGTCACTACCCCAAGATCCCACCCTGGGATCCCAGTCTCACCTGCCCATCCCTCTCCCAAACACTGCTCCTCATCCATCCACCTGCCCGTAGCCCCATCCCATCTGCCTGGCTGGACTCCCTGCCCAAATGGGTCCTGGCCCCAGTGGTGGGTGTAGGGTGGACAGGTCAGGGTGCCCATACAGTAGAGCCAGGGCTGGTGGCTCCACAGCCGGAAGGAGCCACCACAAAGGATGCCAGGAAATAGTCTGGCCACTCTGCCACCCCAGCCCTGCTGCACACCCGGGGGCAGCAGGACTGGCCACACATGACATGACCCAGTCTGCTCTGGTGCGTGGGCTGTACAGGGCTGAGGGAGCAGCTGCAGTCTGGACAAATTCCCTTGGCAGGCTGGATCCATCCTGCAGGCTGTATTTTGCTCACCCTTGCCAAAGAGGCACAGGCTGGCAGACACAGTGAGCAGGCTGGCTAGCAAGGTGGTCTTGACATCCTGCCTAAAGGGAGGCACCTCATGCTACCTGTTAAAAAAGAGTAGATGTAACTATGGAGGAAGCCTTATGAAAGATAAA